TGCAGGTTCGAATTTACGAACATATTCCACAGCATGTTCATGGCGTATTTGGCAAGATTCAAGACGCTTTCGATGATTTTACAGTTCAGAGTTTAACTGGATGATAATACTATTTTAACAAGACGTTTAATTTGAAGTTTTTGTTCTGTTAACACAAATTTTTGACAAAAAAATTACAAAATTCATTCAATTTTTGCTTTTGATGGAATTTTGATGTATTTGAGCAAAATTTTTAATCATGAAAAAGTCAAACCTGGAAAAACTTAAGTGGCAGAATTCTGACCGTGGCTCAAGCCACTTTCGCCATGGCCTAGATCCGCCCCTGCATCGGACGTGTCTGTATGTGTTTGCATATGGTGGTCATTTTTGCATATGGTTTAAACTTTGCTCGACTTTATACGATCCATCAAGCTTGGAGATTGGAAATTACATTTACAATCGTGCTGGAATTAAAAACATGCTGGAATTATTGGATAATTTACGTTGGAAGGAACAGTTAAAAGATGGGTTCTAACTAGTCACGTAGCAGCAAAATGTCAACCAAAAATGAAGCAATCCCAGCAATTTACACACACACACCAAAACATTTGTGACAATTTTGAAAAGGATGATGGGAAAATTTTCACGACCAGATAACAAATGTGTACTCTTGTAAAAATGTGAATAATGTCGGTGTGCGAATATGCAGTTGGTAAGCGTTGCTAAACCAGCTTCCCATGGTTAATATTAAATGATCTGGTAGGCCAGCTGCTGCTGCCGACGTGGACGCCCCAATACGAAAGCTGTGGCACGAATAGTAATCGAGAAACCCGCTCGCTCTACTGCACTGCGTATCCACGATGTTAAAGTGGATCTGGTCAATGGTTTCCCTTCTTGCCTGCAAAAGAGTGGTCCATTTTTCCCAACACGAATCTGCAGGAATTGCATTAATGCGCGAACAGCACATATTGCCTGACCCGATGCTCCCAAGTGGACTGTAAGCACAACCGGAACTGGGTCTGTCTTCGAACATTTCACCTGCAAGTATACCACGTTCGGGTTAACCCGTTCATCAACGCGAATATCAGTGAGAGCTAGATGGCGTTGGTTGTCGAAAGTATTTGTTGGTGTGGTGAACTCGCCAGTACGTCGGAAACCAAAGGAACCAACGCAACAAGCTTCCCAAAACAAGAAGTCATCATAATTGTCCAAGTTTAAGAATCTCCGGATCTTGAACAAGACATTTAAGGTTACAGGTAGCCTTTGGCGTTTCGACACTCCCTGATTACGTTTGATTCCGCGGAGGGTCCGCTTAAATCGGTGACAGTCCTTTAATGGATTGCACAGTGACAATAAAATAGAACTGCGCTGCACATAGAAAAAGTTCCCGTAGCAGTTGCAAAACAAGTCATTTTTGGAAGTCCCACCACACTCTGGTTGTCACAACAAAACTAAATGCGGCAATTGCGTAAAATATTACCCCATATATGACATGCAACAACGATAGGGAAAAGTTCTTTGTATGCGATGTCTAAGGACAGTTGAGCTGGGGACCATTCCCCGATAAACCACTAGCCGTTTCGGAATGCTCCATAACCTATACCACCAGATACATCAGTAGATAGAAAGAAGTCGGGTACCTCTTCCCATTCTGGCAAGTCAAAAAAGTAAACGCCATCCTATGAAGGCAACAGGGCACGCCACCAGTCTATATGGAGTTTTGCATTGCTTATTTAAACAAATAAAGCGCAATCTTTTGCTCGAATGACCTTTTAATAAGTCTAAAAGACGACGGATAAAGGTTCTTCAATGAGGGACTACAGCGCATGCGTGATTTAGCTTACCAACAAATGATTCCTTTAAGTTACAACACCGTTTTTGGGCCCACTTATCTAGTAAGTGAACTATTTCTTCGCGTTTTTGAAATGGAAGCCGTGCAGTCATACGTACAGAATCAATTTCAATGCCGAAAAATGTTAGACAAGTTGCTAGTCCCACGCATTTTTCTGGCGAAAGTGGAATGCCAATTTGCGCAGCAGTACAATGAATCGCTCTTAAGCGAGCGGAACATAGATCAGACTCTGGTGTTCCCAAAGTTAAATAATCATCCAAATAATGAAGCAAATCACTCACATTCTAATTGTGAACAAGACACCAATGAAATAGGTCGGCCACTGAGTCAAATATAGCAGGTGCAAAACGTAAGCCAAAAGGTAAAGTCAAATCAACATATAATTATTACGCCAGCACATGCCAAGTAAATGACGATCATGCGGAAGTACAGTTATTTTCCGATAAGCGCTTTTGATATCAACTTTCCCCATCAATGCCACTTTTCCCGTTTTATCTATTAATGTAATAGCGTCGGTACTTTGCTGTACGTCAATAAAAAGTCATCTTTATTAATGCCATCGTTAACACTATTACCGAAAGGGAATGATAAATCAAGAATGAGACGCCAACCCCAATCCTTTTCAGGAATGACGCTAAAATGACTAATTTGCAATTAGTCACAGGCAGGAAAATAAGTAGACCCTAACACACGGCCTAAAGCTATTTCTTTGTATGGAATGCCAGAGCTGTTTTATGCCATGATATTTTGTTACGTCTCGTTAATTCATCATTGTATGCTGCCCATTCGTCATTATATCCAGTGATCTTTTCATTATATGCGGTCCATCCTTCATTATTTGCAGTGATACTTTCGTTATATGCAGTCCATTTGTCATTATAAGCGGTCCATTCCTCATTATATGCAGTGTGATATTTTTGTTATATGCCGTCCATTCCTCATAAGATATAATGCACGTTTCATTATACCTTAACTTATTATGAGGTTATTTTGTTATGTGGTAATTTCGTTATGTGATCATTTCGTTATGTGGTTATTTCGTTATGTGGTTATTTCATTATGTGGTTATTTCGTTATGTGGCTATTTGTTATGTGGTAATTTCGCTGTGTGGTAATTTCGTATGTTGTTATTTCGTTATGTGGTAATTTTGTTATGTGGTGATTTCGTTATGTGGTTATTTCGTTGTGTGGTTATTTCGTTATGTGGTAATTTCGTTGTGTGGTCATTTTTATTTCTTCGTTATGTGATGTCTAACATGAAGTACTAACGATTAACTGAAACGCAGGCGCTAATTGAACCATTTTTAATTTGTAACAAACGATTTGTTCAACACGTTGAATAGTCAAATAGTCAATAGGCAATAGTATTTGCGTTAATAGCCCTGCTCTTAACCAATTAGAATTGAGAAATTTTTTCATGTATATTATTAATAATGAAATACATGATATAATACTATGTATAATACGCAATACGGAATAGGAATAAAAATTGGTGACATGCAAAGAGTTTTGGAAAAGCTTGGATTTAGCTCTCACACTCAACGTTTTATAGAAGAACGCGTTACACTAGATATTGTTTGCAGACTTTCATTGCACGATTTTAGGCAACTCGGCTTATGAATGCTACTACTCGGAATGCTACTTTGCATTCGATCTGCCAAACAAAAAATGTTGCCAATCCATGGCCGCATAGCGGGCTGAGATGCTTTTCTTTTTCTAGCCGTTCCCCTTGCATGCCGAGGATAAAATAATCTTGCCTTTTCTGCAGCAATTGTCTATATACATTGATATTTGCGTTTATTTTTCCTTGTATTTGTGTGGACTTTGGGGCAACCATTTGATGGATTTAAATGCTGAAAAGGTATTTTACTTTCATACTACATTCATTTGTATGTTTTAGTTGAATTTGTTATAGATATTTTGTCGATGCGATTTGCCAGTATTTGAGCGCTTTTTGACACACTTTCACCTAGGAAATACATATTTATGAAAGCGATTATACATTCATTTTGGTCTTTAAGATACTGATTTTTCAGGTTAAAAGACTGAATTATATCAGCTAGAACTTTAAAAACATTAAAATTAAGCTCAAATTGTATGCATAATATGATATATATACGTAACACAGTGCAACTCTCATTTAATTCAAATATATATAATGTACATTTATTTCATATAGCACGTTTTGAAAGCATTATTTATACGTTGTTTATTTAATCGCTTTCATAAATATGTATTTCCTAAGTGAAAGTGTGTCAAAAAGCGCTCAAATACTGGCAAATCGCATCGACAAAATATCTATAACAAATTCAACTAAAACATACAAATGAATGTAGTATGAAAGTAAAATACCTTTTCAGCATTTAAATCCATCAAATGGTTGCCCAAAAGTCCACACAAATACAAGGAAAAATAAACGCAAATATCAATGTATTGAAGAAATTGTGTTGTTTCTCATTTGTTGACCAGAAAAGAGTCGTATGTCACTCGTATGTACTCGTATATTACTCGTATGTACTCGTATGTCACTCGTATGTACTCGTATGTTACTCGTATGTACTCGTATGTACTCGTATGTACTCGTGTGGTGTTTTAGTCACGATCCAATTTCAATGCCTTTCACAAAAAAAATACAAAGAAAATTTAACCTGCTACGATATTAGCTAATACGTTACCTAAGAGTATGTTTACACTACTCTGGATCGGTCTAAAATTGGCGCAAAAAACAGTGAGAACCGGGCTGCGTTTAAACTGCACCGAAGCAAAATTGTTTGAAAATTTCCTTTTCTAGAGTGATACGACCGCACTTTCAAAACATAGTCAAGCAAAAACGGAGTGGTAAGAAGCATTACTTAAACAACTAACAGTTAATATTTCGCTACATTTTACAAAACAATTCTCTTCAATTCGTCCCGCGTTGTGGCGCATAATTGAAAATAGTGAACATTATACGTTTTCAAAAAGCTCTTTATGAAAAATTTGCAGTAGATTTTACAAGTCATTGTTTATTATCACCTATGGCTAGAGATATAAACATCTAGCAATACGTAAACGAGAAATGACGTCATTAGTTCACAAACAACTAACGAATTTTGACAGCAAGAGACATAACATCCGCAAAACTGAGGCGGAGTTTAAACAGATCAGTGTAAACCAAAGATATACCTTACTTGTATTAAAATTCGAGTCGTACTCATTTTCGCTCAGCTTTAAATTCGCGCGATTTAATTTCGCGCACTTTGTTGACAATTATTCGCGCAGCTTTAAATTCGCGCAAGTAGTTTTATGTGCTTGTTCTTTTTGGTTTGTTCAAAAGAACTATTAATAACTAACGCATTTATATTGAGCTTTCTTTATGAAGAAATACCTCAATATTCATCAAAAAAGCGATTGGGTGGCCTCAAAAATGGCTTCAAAATAAAGCGTGAGTTCACTATCCCAACAAGAACTAAAAAATGTAATAAATGATGTTGCCTAACAATATACTTTATAAGTCAAACAAAAGTTTAGATACAGTTCAAATGGATCCTCTTTTCGTTGTGGTTCCTCGGAACTTCCTCCAATGCGGCGCTCACACCTGATCGTTGCCAACCTTTGACGACAATGTCCTTGTTCGATTGCATGTAATCATAGAACTGCACTATCCATTTTGCGTGAAGTGGTTTGAGCACGCTAATTCTCAAATCAACAGAAACTTTATCAGGTTGAATACCTTTCTCTATTTGGGCTTAGACTTGCTCTGAATACCAAGTTTGCGCCTGGTTTCGAAGGAAAGCTTTGAAAGAGCGATTGACCGTTAAATCTAAGGGCTGCAGGTATGATGTCATATTATTGGGAACAGGTATCATCTTCCCATTATTGTCGGAAATGATCTTCTTTACGGCATCCGTCCAATGTGCTTTAAAAACATCGGCAATCAAAACCCATTGTTTTGTTGCGCGAAAACCAAGCTCTTCTCTAATTTGCTTAATACAGGGGATAAGAATGCGATTGACTAATTCAATTGCTTTCGTTTCATTTGACCAATGATTTTCCGTGTGGGTAACGTGGAATTTTTATGGAAATCTGAATTTAGGGTGACACCGGTCTGTTTTCCCCTGGTAGATTAGTTGAATGGGTGCTACGCTGTTTTATTTGTTTTGCGATATCTTCAACGTTAATCGGTGCCTCCTGTGTTGTTTGCGGGCGTTTATCTGGGTCAGGTTTTTTCAAGAGGTTCCATGCCTTTCTGCTTGAGTGGCAGAAGTCCGTGTTTTCTACTGTTTCCTGCCATTTCTTGCAACGTCCTTTTTGTTTTAATATTGAGTGATTTATCGTGAAGGGTAGATTCATCATCAATGCTAGCGAAATTGTTCTGTCATCAATTACCTGTGATCATCACACCATGTCTATTGGGAGATTTGTGTATTCGTGCTGATCGTGGTGGCTGTTGCTGTTCATCTATCATACTGTTGTGGAACTATCTTACATTTCTTCATTGACTTCATGTTTTCATTGTCTTCTAATAGTTCATCATTCTGTTTTTCGGTCAAAATATCTTTATTATATCTATTTTTGACTATTGTAGATTTCTTTCGTCGATCAAATGAGCTTTCGTCAAATAATACGTCTCTTCATATGTGAATTTTACCAGTTGAAACAACGTATAGTCGATGAACTTTACTTTTGAGGCTGTACCCAACAAATGTGCATTTCTTGGTTTTGGAGTCCCATTTTGCCTTGTTTCCTTAGGAACGTCCACGTAAGCTGTGCAACCTAAAATTCTCAGATGCGAAACATTATTTTTTTAGACTGGAAACATTCGTAAGGTGTAACTCCGTTCACAGATACAGTAGGACTTCGATTTCTTAAGTTGACTGCAGTATGAACTGCTTCAACCCAAAACTTCTTTTGTAGTTTTGCGTTTTTCAGCATAGATCGTGCAGCTTCTTGAATGGTTCTGTTCTTTCTTTCAGAAACTTCGTTCTGCTGTGGCGTTCTTGGAACACTAAACTGATGCTGAATTCCCTTATCCTTTAGATATTTTTCAAACATGTGACAAGTGTACTCACCACCGTTGTCTGATTGAAGTACTTTAATTTTCTTGTTAGTGAGAGTGGTCATCATTGCTTCAAACTCTTTGAATTTCTCAAAAGCTTCATCCTTTCTCTTTAAAAGTAGACTGTTGTGTACCTTGATTTATCATCAATAAATGTTGTAAAATATTTATTTCCACAAAGACTTGTTTCTTCCATCGGTCCACAAACATCGCTATGGACAAGATCAAGTATATCTTGAGCAAGCGTTGCAGGTTCTCGAGGAAAGGTTGCTCGTATCTGCTTTCCTTGTGCACATCCTTCACAAACTTCAAAGTGATCATCGGATTGAAAATTAAGACCTTTAACCAATTTTTGATCTCGAAGTAGACGTAAATTCTTTAGGCTTAGATGGCCATATCATTGATGCCATATTTCTTCGCTAGTATTACTTGTAGAAACATTCGCATGATTCGAATCATTCTGTTCTTCTTTAACATCAATAACATACATGTTATTCATCATTCTTCCTGATCCAGATATAGTTCCATTTTGATCAAGTATCAAGCAAGTGTGTTGTTTAAATTCAACTGAGTATCCTTGTTTTGCCGTTGTACTAACTGAGAAAAGATATTTTCCTAAATCTGGAACATATAGGACGTCAACCAATCTTCTTGGTTCATACTTCTTCTTAGACTTAATCTCAATGTGCACATTTCCTTTTCCCAGTGCTTTAACTATTCTGTCATCTCCTAGCTTTAACTTTTCGGGGGATTAGAACGAGATGAAATCAACCATGATGTCCTTATTGTATAACCCTATGAGATGATGCACCTGAATCAATGTATCATGCAGATTCTTTGCTATCTGTAAAGAATGATGAATTTTGAACTGTGGCTCAATAGGATGCGTCTTCCCTTTTATTTCTAGTGTCACTTTGCTGATTCTGTTTGGGTTTGCGACATACTCTAGCCCAATGTTCAGGTAACCCGCAGTTGTGGCATTTACTTTTTTTTTTGAATTTGGCATTCTTTACTTTTTCGTTTTTGGACTTTTGACATAGTAGTGCTTTTTCACCAATATCCTTACTTTCGTTGGATTCCTTACGTTTCTGTTCTTCATGAAGAAGTCTAGCAGTAACGAATTCCAATGATAAGTCATCTGCTCTAGATTCCAATGCTGTTATTAAGCACTGTGTGAATCAAGCAAACTACAAAAGAGTGTCGCCACTTGATCTTACTCAGAAACAGAGGCACCCAATGCTTCTAATTGACTTGCAATATCCTTCATCTTGTTGAGATGTTCGGTCATGGAATCATTAGGACCCATACTTGTAGTGAAATATTTCTTTCGCAAGAATATTATATTGGCCAAAGATTTGACTTCATACTGATTTTCTTATTTCGCCCAAGCATATTTTGCAGTACGCGCTGATCGAACGAGAGATAGCTGTTCATCGCCGAGAGTATCAGTAGTTCCTTCACCATTAGGTTTACCTCATCGCCGATAACTATTTGCGAGAGATCCTTCTCTTCAAGTATCATCTGCATCTTAAACTTCTAAAGGTGAAAGTTTTGGCTATTGAACTTTTCGATCCGTGTAAATGCTTCTTCATTTCGCGAAGTCGCCATATTTTATATTTCGCACTTATGTAAGTTATATTCTCATAAAATCGCGATATCTTATATACTTTCCTTATTTACTAACACCAACAGAAACTCAAACGCTCCTGGGTCCATAACCTGTTAAATTATTCGTGATTCGGCAATAACATTCGGATTGTACGTGAAAATATTATGATTTTATTGTGGAACTAATAACAAGTTAAAGGACACATGCATGCTAGAAGACAACTTTATTTTATTGTAATGCCTATAGCGTGAAAAATAAGATGTACCAAGATTCAAAGTCATCCGCAAAATATTTCAAAAGATATTTAGGGTTATAATCGGCAAAAACACGATATTCGATGACCATTGCTAAAACGCCGTGAGATTGTTTAAGTCTGGGAACTGGGAAAGAGTGACGTATTAGTTGACATAAACAAGCATCGTTCTTATATCGTTCTACGACTTACACGCAGTTCTTGCACGGCTTTCAGTAGTTTGCTATTACTGTTTTTTATTTATCAAAAATTAATGGATTCTTCTGAAGAAGCCGATTATGATATTGTCATCAATAACAATGAGGTACAACCTTACATGTTTGAGCCTTTGGCCAACGCGTAAGGTGGTCATAATGATGACAATTCTCTGTCATCGGAAAGCGAAGATAAATACATTCACAGAATTGGAAATGTTGAATGGTTAGTTGCATTTTATTGATGCTTCATTGTTTTTCCCAAAGTAAAAACAATGATTTTATCTTTTAGGTGTGTGTGTGGCTTTTTTGTGGTCATGAGTACAGGACGGGAAAGTATATGTGGCCAAGAGGTAATCAATACTGATCCTCTGAAACATGGCGATCGTATTTGTATCAAACAAGAGGAAGAGTTAGCCACAGTGTGTACGAACGAAGCGGTCGAAAAAACAGCTATGGTCGTGTACACACATGACATTGGACCTATGCCTGAGAGGGAAGAAAACGAGTGAGAGTCTAATCCATTGTAGTTATTGCTCATCGTCGACGTGCTTTCTGTATCAGACCATACATCGCTATCCTCAAAATGTTCAATTTCAAATGACGTCGTTTGTGTGCTGTGATTTTTTGTTGAAATTAACTCAACCTCCGTACCTTAGCATAAAATTATTGTATTGCTGGATTTTTCACAAAAATCAAAACGGCCAAAATGGAAAGTCTATACCTCTACTTATCATATTTGGCACTTTTGTTTGAGTGGTTCTTGACCTTACGTGTTTTTGCGGACGGATTGTTATGTCTGCTTGGCATTTCACATTGCGCTTCTAAGGTACAAGGAATTTTCTGAGTTAAAGTAACAAAGAAAAGATCAAACGACATTAGTCTGAATTAGTTACCACTGTATATGTTTGTGTTTCGCTGTCTACATATATTTTGACATCTTTTATCTTAGACAAACTTCCTTTGAGGTAAAACGCACAAACATTTCGAGCCGATGTCGACACATCGTAGTCGTCTGCAAGAACGTCGTCAATAATCTAAAATTATAAAATTGTCGTCAATTTGGTAATGCTAATAGCTTAGTTTTTGATAAATGTAAACAAATATTGCTAACTATAACTATAATAATCACCTCTTGCCTTCGTCTCTTCTCAAATGCAGTTCTAACATTTGTTGGCTGCTTCGAAGTCGTCCTGCTGTCATTCCTACTGATTGCATCGCTTCAAAATTTTGCACGAAGCACGAACTCTCGAAATGTTGCGAGCACAATTTTAAGCTCTTTGTTGGCTTCAAATTTTTGCGTCGGATTTTTTCAATCCAAATATCTCGCATCCGCTTGTTTTCGGGAAACGAAAAAAAGAAAGCTTTGCTGCTTTTGGTGGTTCTTAGAAGAACCGTTTTTACAATTAAATGCGGCACAATAAACCATATTTTCAATGCTAAATTGTCGTGTTGTTATTGCAGGCAAAGAAGTTAGCAATATATTTTGAACGAAGCGCGCAATTGACCGCGTTTTGCTAATGTCAACTATTACTTCACAACGACCTTTTTCCAATCGGTAGCCGTCGTTAGCTCGTCGGGCATTTTCAATACGTTATCAGTAAAGCATCAACTTTAAACCTCCATATCTTCTAAAATATTTATCGTTTGAGTCTCAAACTTTGGTGAACTATTAGTTGGAGCTATACCTTAATGTAAAGTACAAAAATAACAATCCGAATTTTACGTTGCATGTGTCCTTTAAGTATCAGCGAACAACCATATTACAATAACAAGTACGAATGTCACTTAATCTGAAATGTGTCATATACTTATTTATGCATGCAATCCTATGTTGTTTATGTCTTTTCGTTTGATGTCATATCTTAAAGTGCATATAAACTTTACGTGCTTTTTACACTATCCAATGTACGCGATATCAAAAGCCATATTCCAAGATTTTGATGTAATAAGACAAATATTGTGGGCTGTTCAGTCTATCAACGCTGCAAAAATATACCATTTTAAGCGCTTGGTTTTACCGCTAAAGGACTGGGCCTGTGCGGTAGGGTGACGTCATCCAAGTAATCCATTCCAGAGCATTATAGTAATTTAACTAGCTATTCTCTTTACTATTGTCACATCATGTCAAATGCCGATGTATTCTCATGGCGATATACCAATTTCAAGGAAAGACACCGGTAAAACACTGTCCTCCAACTCTATATCATAATTTGCATTTTCTGAAGAATCTGAAGATGAGGTTTCAGAGCAGATGAAGACATTTTGAAAAAAAACGGCGCAATACTCGAAATATCGGCAAAAATATTGATTATTTTAAAAAGCAAATAACATGTTCTGAATAGAGCCTACGCGACTGTGTTCCTTACATGACGTCACAACATGTACTGGATACCAGACCCCATTGGAAAAAAATATAGTGAAAATCTGGACGTTCAAACCGTAATTGCAAAGAAAGCTTTGATCTCAATTCAATTGTTTTTTTTAAATTTGTAGTTTTCAAGAGCTGCTCGTTCAAACTATACTAAAATCTTATAAGGTTTATATGAACTTTAACAATGGATTCCTCTATGTGACCCGCCACAGCCGTTCCCATCACATTGGTTGCGAAATCTACAGCGATCATAGCGGCTGCTGCAATTACCTTGACTCCACGATCTACAAACGACAGAGGAACTCGGTTCCCTAATAGCCTCCCGTGCCCTCATGCTTTGATTAAACGGTGACTCTTTTGCTATCGAAGTATAATAATGATACAAATCAGAATTTATTTGGTTCCAATTTTGTTAGACCAGACGCTGCAGCTTCTAAGCTGAATGCGCGTTCGTAATTAAACCAACGCCATTCTCCAAATTGCCCGGAAATTCGAATTATTAGGACTATTTTGGCCAACAAGTCTCGCGAACGTTCGGGGTGATGGGAAGTTATGACTGAAATGTAACTTGTAAAGCACTCGATCCAAGTTAGAATATCATGTATTTCGTTTTTTGCGAGAGATTGGCGAGATTGTTGGCACAAATGAGCCATCCTCAATCGTGAATGTGGTCGTCTCGCTTTCGGCGTAATTAATGTTGTCGGGTACGAGTTCCGACAAGTCAACAAAGTTTAGAGCCAAAATCTGTGCCACGAGTTTAGCAGGAATAGAAGGACGACCGGAACCCAAAATAAAAGCTTGGTTAAGCCCGCTATTGCTAATCGTTACAGGTGGAAAAGAAGGAGGGAATAGCGAGCATTGCGATATCGTGTTAGCTATTGCGTTAGCTTGAGGAACACTCGCGGACTCTAACACGGCAATAAAGGATGGTGCGGACAACGTACCTTCAGTCTGCGACACTCCGCTCACCTCAATCATTTCTTCTCAGCTAAGAGCCGCTTCTTGTTTGCCTTGTTGGTATGATGCCACGCTAGAAATCGCCTCTCTCACGATGGCGTGGATACCTTTGCGGAACTCTGATGACCCAAAAGCAGCCGCCCAATTCACAGATTGGGCAGGAACATTTGAGCTTTGATCTTCCAAAGTCTCGGTATTTATGATGAATTTGGCTTCATTTTTGTGTGTGTGTGTATGTGTGTGTGTATGTTCAAATAAAATTTTTGTTCCGTACTTCACCGCAACGTGTCGAAAATGATGACCTAATTCTATGTCCGTGACTATATCATGCGATATGCGATATTCGTCTTCAGTCTGCGGGCGCCGTTCCTATGATATAAACCTTAGTTACTGCATAACCTCATATTCTTACAAACTTTTCAATATCTTGATAGGAATATGCCTTTTCGATATTGCAAGTGAGATGACTTGATATGGTAGAGAAAGTCCGTCAATAACTCGTAAAAATCTAGATCAAATCCTTGTTGGTAGAACAACTATGTAGCGGTTATCTGATAACTTCTCCCTTGTTTACGTACTTGTTGTTGGGGATATTTGATGCACTACCCGAGTATTTAAAGGATGTAGTGTTATTTCTTTAGACAGAAGACTGTTATACCTGCAATATTTTCCTGAAATAATTTGTAAAAGGCTTTATAGACAGGTATGTTTGTCTATTGTCTTAGTTAGGCAATTCCCCTACCTTTATAAGTCCCACCTTAAAAGTTTATACTGTTATTAATATTACAATATAATTAAATTTTATAATAAAATACTAAATGTTAATTCTCTTTGTGTAATCTTGAATAGAAACAGGGGCTTCATTGCTATTGACAACTAGAGTTAGGCATTTATTGCAACTTTTCACCTTAACAAATTAGTCGAACGCAACTACAAAAACTATCCAAGGCCGCAACAATGTTTATCAAATGTTGATATGGGATACTGGCACAAAATAGTTATTTTCAAATTTATCATATCATTTCTTGATTTAGGTACTGGCTCTAATTGGTTTGGGTGCAACATGTGAGAAATGTTATGATAAAAATTTGGTAAAGGGAAAGTAAAAAACATCCCAACTATGAACAAATGTGGAGAAGTTAAATTACATACTGACACATTAAAAAGTAGTTTGAACAATCCGTATGTATTTTAAACTTAATTGAATTTATTTAGATTATGGCTGTTAAGTAATTACAGCATTCAAAAATTTCAATAATTTTTGAACTTTTCATTATCATCTTATATCTGTATTAAATGGAATTTTTGTTTGTTAATAGTGTTTTACATGATGATTGTATTAAGATTACCAAAAAATGAAAGTCTAAAAAGTTTCATGATTACACTAAGTTACTCATTCTAAATAGCCCCGTGATTTGGTGAGCTTTCTTTCGTTGTTGAACCAATATCTGCCAGACTATGATATACATTTACAAGCTTTCGTTTCACTCTTTACTTATATATGTCAACAGGAACATAAATGTTGTCTATTTATGGACTCTTAACAATATAAGACCGTTTTATTTTACTTATTTTACTTTACATAAGCCTCGAGATCCATTAAAATTATTCTGCCGTAATTTTGTGCAAACAAATCAACGATTTATATGTCTTATTTCAATAAAAAAATAGGTAATAGATAATAGAAATTACTGTTTGTAATGCTGTTAGTCAGTCTGGTCAGTCAACTCTAACAATGACAAAAAATAAAATCATAAACCTTCTTCCATGCACAAAGCTAAGAACAATGACCTACAGAATTACTCTCTTTTCAAATTATACGACAGCTGTGCGTACGCTTGGGTAGTCTGGTATATTTATCCTGACTCTTCAAAAATGCCTGTGCATTATTGCTGTCGTTAAATCAATGTTAGCTACGTCCACAACAGACTTGAGAAAAAGGTGCGAAGTGAGAAAGCCCGTAAAAATACCCAAGCTGTATGATTAACTTTACTAATTTAAGTCACGTGATGTCATCTTTAAAAGTTTTCAAAACTCTTCTTGCGATTCTGACCTCAAAACATTCTTCTACGTACTGTAGCAACTCTGATAAATGACGCGTACAGTTGAAATGTGTGTCTATTTAAAAGTATGAAGTTAAAATATTCTTTGTCAGCATTTGCCATTGCATATAAATTGCATATATGCAGTAATAAAAGTATGAAGTTAAAATATTCTTTGTCAGCATTTGCCATTGCATTGAGTGGATCACGTCCATGGCATCTAGAAGTCTGAAACGAGTAAATATTTCGACGTCATCCACGGGAGTCATCAACTGTAGTCTATTATATTTATAGTTTTCTTTACAAACTTTTGTGTTCACAACTTTCGTTAGAAACAAATTGTATTTGTGGATAGCCAATAGTTGTGTAGCTCCTGAACTCCCAAATGAAGTGTGCCTTAATAGCAAACAAGCAGAAACAAAGAGACGACGAAGTTATCAGTTGACTTTGTTAAGCGTCTTTAAACCATTTGGAACACTAAAGTGTATATTTTGCGAATTTCAAGCCAAAAGGCTACAAGCACCGTTTTTCAATGTTGCCTGATAAAAAGAAACTAAACGTATACAGGACCTTTGAGATGAAAAGAACGTTAACGTCAGTCCATATCAAAATACTCTGAGAAAATTTAACATTGTTTATTATTCAGACAAGAAGGTGAATTATAGTGCAGAATACTGTAACCACTTGCTTACGTTCACAGAAAAAGTTCGTTGATTTTGTATACTTTTACATTTTAAGTAGATGTTAAATTAGTATTTAATCTTTGAACAACATTGAATACAGGCTACGATATAGTACTAGAAAATACCTTACCGTTTTCACCTTTTTTTGTATTTTTACATAACAATATTGTTGAAATGTCAGACAATTTATCGTACCTAGTCCTGTTTGCTTTAAACACAGCTTTTCATAAGTCAACATTGAATTAGTACGAATGCATGAATGAGAAAAAAATTGCACTCGAGTAAAAACAATGTCGTAGATAAAAGAAATCTCGCGGACTCGAAAAATTGTATAACTCGCGAAAATGAAAAAATACCTCACGTGAATGAAACTATGAATCTCGTGATCTAGAAATATATGCATTCTTGCTTGTCCATTAAAAGCCACCATAGGTAATGTTTTCAGTATATTAAATAATTCACCCCGAAATGAATTTAATGTCTTAGTAATCGGTCTTAAAACTTTGCAATAACTCTTATTCTTTATAAAGAGTAGAACCACAAAATTTCATGGAAAATCAGAAAAGAATTATAAATCAGCCGTCAAATTTGTCTACATTTGGTCTACCGCAAATGACATCAAAGCAAGAACAACGCCTCCCTTACATGACGTCAAAAACAAAGCTAGAGCCAGTTACAAAATAAGACATCCGTGGGCCATATAATACTAAATATAAATCGCGAACGATTTCAAATTAATTTCCATTCACATCAAAATACTACAAATAATGTTGAGATTTCATTTTGCGAAAAAAATTGTGAAGTTATGAGCACTTTAAATCCTGCGTCATTTAATTATTTTAAGTTTAGACGAAATAGCAATCTACCTTTTATTACCTTTTTCAATTCACAGAATGCGAAGTCTATATTTTACATAAATCATGGTATCATTGTATCAACGTTAGAGAAAATTGTCAACTTATTTACATGAAGGCTACGTTCTCAAATACTTTCAACGTCCTATCATATTTTGACGAGGTTATTGTGCTTGCCGGATAATTGGGCAAACATAGCAATGCTTATAGAGTGAAAGCTTAGATTATGTCTTGGGGTTTCTCACCCAAAGAAAGGTATAAGATTTAAAGAAGAGACAGTCCTTAAGGTTTTCTGTGAGCTCATATCGACGTACCGTTGTGAAGTTATTTCAAAAGACCCAAGAGTAGCAAACAGCGAAATTAAATATATATTTTGAAAGAATGATTATATCAAAATTTTACTATCATTGATTGAAGTATTGACTTATTTAATTATAATTTTTGAGTTTTACACCAAACACCCGTACATTACAATATGAAGGTAACACAGTTTGATTATACAATGCTTTTTGTCAGAATTGATCTTTTACGCAATTTTTTCTGGACAAAAACATTAAATAAAAAAAGTGGCGGAATAATCTTCAACGAACTTATCGAGTTTCATCCTAAAATCAGCTATCATCACAAAATCACATAAAATATTCTATGGAAAGCTTATTTCCATTCATTCAAAAAACTTTATCATCAGAATTTATGTGAGAAGAAAAATGTAGCAGTAATTTACATTCCAAAAGATTATTTCTTAAATTGTGTATTGCTTGTACTTTTTCAAATAAAGCGTTAGCTTCATATAATTATTTCCAAAATGAAAATCTAGGATTGGTTTAAAACTAAAGAAACAGCGAGAACAATATGCGATAGTACTGGTGCAATTGAAGTACACTGCTCAAGAAGATGGGCTTTTTTAACCATGGTTGATGATGGATTTCTGCGGGCGAGAACAACACAGCTTCTTGGCTTACTGACTTGTAGTACAGTCTGCAGTCATTCCAATGTAAAATTCTTGTAATGGAGTCATACCGCCACTCACCTTTACCTTCTTTCCATGAACAAGCTACGGTGTTATCAGGCTTAAAATGTACTTTTCCACTTTCGTAAATCCCATCCTGCCGCCACGACCATGTTCCTGTTATATTATCTGGGAAAACATCTGAAATTTAGATTGATAAAAACAAATAAACTAAGACGAAAAATATAATTGTTTCTTTTAGCAAATGAAAATGAACATACCCTCTTCGTCCCTATCGTCATTAAATTTTGTTTTCATTTGGTTCCCAAACACACCAAATCGTTCTACGAGAACATCCAAAGTATTGCTTGAGTCGACAACAAACTCCTCCTTGTTCGAAAATGTCAGATGAGTTTCATCTAGAAGTCTTGAAAATACTTTGTCATGGCTTCGTTTATTTGAAAATGAAGCTTTTTTAGTTCTTATTTGAAGTCTTCTACAGTTTCATTCAAATCACTGGCTTCACTAGAGTCATCAGACGTGGCCGAAAGAAGTGACAAGGACAAGACAACAACACTGGCAATTTCAGCATACAAAATAACTTCAGTAAACATTTTTTCAGGGTCCATATCACTGTCAATGATCTTTTGACAGGCGAGCTTTCCAGCATCACGTGACCTAAATAGATTTTCTCTGAAAATCTTCACGTTTTCAACGTAATACATTGTATATTTATAACACTCAAAACACACCAAGACATTTTCTTTAATTTCCGACCATTGAGACAGATCTTTGGGAAACTGAACTTTCTCAGCATTGAGACGATTACTCGATTGCTCTTTATTTAAACGAGCCTTTGTCTATTCAATGAGATCAATCAATGATAGCAAACGTTCACTCAAAGGAGCAGCAGCAATGCAGAATTTTGAAATGGATGACATCAATTTGATAGATGTTACAAAGTTAGATATGTCGTCGACAACTCCGATATTTTGTCGATGCCCATTTGCATCAATTACTAAAGCACCATGTTCACAACCAAATTTAACAATAGCAGAAACATTTCTTTCGGCAAGTAAACGGTGAAGAGCTAATCTTCCGTTTTTTTCTGTCCTCTTCGTTTTCATTCCCTAAAAAAATTGTTTCATATAAGCCTCCTACTTTTTTGTCGGTTCTCGCATTAGCATATTTCAGTTCAGCAAAAGTCAAAACAACTGGTTGGTCTCCATTTGTTATTTGAATTTCATCTGGCATCAATACAACAGGAAAAGATATTATTGCATTGGCCAGGTGATCATCGCCAGTGTTGTCATATTCATCCAGAAACGTTTTTCGATGACTTACAAGTTCCAAATAATGTTCACGAGCAATGTCGAGCTTCTTGAAGGCTGCAGCACAATCAAGCACATTCTGCTTGGCTATATCACTTACATTGTTAGCATATTTCCCTCCAAATATTGCCCATTTATGATTCAATCTTTCTTCATGCCAAACAAATGCATTAGATCTTGTGTTCACATTTGGGTGGACTATTGATGCTTCACTCCACGCTGGAATACGGCTGGAATTGGCCTCAAAAGTATATTCTCTATTGTAATTTAATGAATCGCGGGATCCAAGCACAGCTCTATTCTCACTTGAACCTGTATGGCTTTGAAAAGATGAGATGTCTTTCAAAACAATGTTATTGGCACTCATGTTTAATGAGATAGTTTGTCCCATGCTTGTAATTCAGACTCCTATGATACAAAAATGTCAGTTTTATCAAAATGACCACTGTTTTCTTGTAAATATGCTTTAATGTAAGGTGTTATACTACTCTGCTTTGAATAACACCCTACATTACATTTTCCTCGTTGACAATTTTCTTACAGTTATTCCTCTAACACAAACTTGGGGTGTTTTTTTACTTATGAACAAAGTTAGTGCGGGTGGTGTGTATTACAGGGAGGCGTTTATTTTGGAATCTCACTCCTAAGTTTGCATGTAAGGTTCCACATTTCAAAGCAGCGCAAATCGACTCTATTACGACTCTTTCTCTTGTGAAGAATCAGGGAGGCGGTTTTTTTTTTCAATTGAGTGTATTTGACGATATTTTATATCGATAAAAAGCTTTCAATAAAACAGCATAACAGCATGAAATTACAGTAAAATCTGTAGAAAAGCTAGCGCAGATATATATTGAGTGCCTCTTCCAAAACGTGAGTTCATCGTTTTTTGCGCTTTCATTAACTGCTTACTGATTCCTTTACTTTGCTGTGACCTACTTTAAAAGTCTGAATAAAGAATACACGACGTATGCTCACCGAATGGAACGATTTAGAATATAATGCATCATACTAGCAAGGAAAATTATACAATGTTAGTCTGCTCACAGCGAGAAATCTTAAAAGAAATATGACTATGTGTATATAGTACAAACAAACAGTAAATAAATTGTATTTTGCTAAAATTCTGACTTGAAGAACCTCAGTCACAAATCTTTCCTGAAGAAAAACACTTTCAAGTGTTGAGGGAATTGCTGATTTTCGAAGAATTGCAAATTTTATAGAGCCAGTAATAAAAATATGCCAACAAATGAACAAAGCAACAACGTCATCAGAATATACTTACTTAATACAAACTTGTGGCAGAATGAAATCTTTCAACTTGTTTGATAGCACGTATGAAATTAGCCAGCTATTTTTAACAGTAATTTACAATAAGATTTTGCGTATAGTAGAAAAACTATTGTGTATAGTAGAAAACTATAGTTATCTGGGAAAACTATAGTGTTTACGTAGCAGACAACTATAGTTAATGAGAAAAATGCAGCGTTTAGGAGACAACTACAGTTTATATGAGGAATAACTATTGTGTACAGGAGAAAACTATAGTTTATCTGGAAAACAATACCGTTTAGGAGACAATTATAGTTTTTATAAAAACTATGGTGTTTTGGAGACAAGTATTTTTATATGTGTATAGGAGACAAATATAGTTCATCTGAAACAAACGGTGAGAAAACTTTAGTGTTTATATGAAAAACTACACTATGAAAGAATGTTTTATGCAGTGCAGAGTTTGAAATTAAATGTAGACATGATCTTCGCACTTTGCTGGACAATTTAAGCAACTGTCTCATGAACCTGAAAAATTCAGGTGACTCAACGGGATTCGAACCCATGACCTCTGCGGTGCCGGTGCAGTGCTCTCGTGAACACATCTGACCAACTGAGCTATGACCGGCTCTCCACTGTGTGACGTCATAGCTCAGTTGGTCAGAGCACTGCAACGGCACCGCAGAGGTCATGATTTCGAATCCCGTTGAGTCACCTGAATTTTTCAGGTTCATGAAACAATTGCTTAAATTGTCCAGCAAAGTGCGAAGATCATATCTACATTTAAAAACTACACTGTTAAGTTTTTACAAGATGGCTGTCGTGTTTAGAAGAAAACTCTAGTTTTCAAACAGTATTAATATAGTTTATTCACAAAATTAAAGTTTTTGAAAAATACTGTGGACATTTTTTGCATTTGCAAGAAAGCTATAGTTATTGTGATAAAGCTATCATGTTTAGAAAAAAGCGAGAGATATCAGAGATATTAATACAGTTTGTTTGGAAAGACATATAGCTAATATAAAAAATACGGTTACATCGTTTGCATTAAGGTGTACTCAAATGTTCTCATTTTGTTAAAAGTATGTTTTAAACACCATTGCCACAGTTTGTTCACTCAAAACAACATGTTCTAACAACACTATAGTATAAAGATTTTTTAATATGTATCTTAAAGGCGTTATATCACGGGAATACATTATATTTGGATAGGAATATTGCAAGAAATATGCTAATAGTATGGCTTATCGTATATTTACATGATTTGACGTGATTTTTCTTTTTCTTTATCATTTTTTTCTTTACCGTCTACATTATCATGATAATCAAATTTATTTTCAGATCATTTTATACACATGCAATTTAGATTTAATTTTATAAGCAGTGTATCGTTGGGTAGCTTACACATAGAATTACCCATTGCAAGAATTGATTAATTAATAAAATGGCTGGAAAAACACTATGTCATATAGAAATTTATTTATTTTTAAATAAAAAGAAAAAAGAAAAAACAAATACTAATTGAAGATTCAATACTAATTGTACCTATGAAATAGTGGATAATAATAGATGTATTTTATTCTCACCTTTCTTATTTAATAATCCATTCAAGATAATAAATCAGATGATTTTGATAATTCTGTAAGATGTTATGATGTTAATACAATAAAAAATAATTTTTTTTCTTTGAAAAACATATTTATATTCTTGAATCAAATCATTGTGATATATGTTTTAAAATTGAAAAATTAATTGAATATATTGAACAAAATATTGAAAATTATGCTGGAGTAAGTTTAATTTACTAAAACTGAAACAAAGTATAAGAAAGGTAAAACAATGTGATGGAATTAACTTGTAAAATGTAAGATGTCTAAAAAAAACTTCAATGACCAATTTATGTTGGATTCACCTGGAGAAAAACTTCATTTAAGAATTATAACTTAAAATATTAAATGGATACTTCCAGCTTTAACCGGTGGAATTGTTAATAAATAACTTAAATAATAAAGCTTCTAGAACATTTCTTTTTCTTTTTTTACACTAAATCCTTTTTTTACTAAAATTAAGACTCTATTACAATTTGAATGATGAATTGTATGGTCTTTTTTGCACTAAATATTGTTTCTAATTAATTGCTTGGTACATAGGAATATGTGATTAATAAATCACTTGGTTTGCTTTTCTTACATTTTACAATAATTAAAAATATAATATCATTTAAGAATTTGTTACAAAATTCACATGACAATATGTGTCGAGCTTAATCAACATATTCTTTATTTTCTATAAGAAATCAATTAATTACTTCTTTAATTACATTAGATAAATTTGTTTTATTAGTTATATCGTAAAATTCTTTATATGATACATAAGTTAATAGATCACTGACAAATAAAAAGTCAAATCTATATTCATCATCACACACTAAAGCTAAAACATCTTTTTTACAGCATGAGAATCATGCAAATAAATTTCAAAATAATCAGTTAAAATAATACCTCTATGCCTTTTATTGAAATTAAAAACACTATATATACAACAAAACATATCATCGAATAATTAAAATTTTGCATATACATTGTTCAACACAATATCTAGATATTGAATATAAAAATTAATTATTATGATAATAAAAACAACGAATGATTCCTATTGAACCATTGAAAATTTCTATGAAATCATATCTTTCGTAAATTTTTCCTTTCCTAGAAAAATAAAAAATGCAATTGGTATATACCTTCTTTGGTATATAATCCTTAAAATTTTAATGTACTTGTATTTTTTCTTCGCAATTGAAATAAATAACTAAAAACAAAGTGCAAGCAACATAAAATGGGATGTCCATGATATTCCATTAAAAAAATTCCAAATGTTGTAATGGAATCCATAACAAAGCTAAAAATAATAAACCGAAATTTAATAAAACACATAAAAAACATATATGTTACGATATAAGTAAATTTCTAAAGGAAATTTGAAGACTTAATTAAAGGAACAAAAAACAATTATATAAAATTAATATAATATAATAAAATTTAATATAAAACTAAACTGTATCGAGCTCTGCCTCTCCACTGAATTCTCCTTCCAAAATTCGTATTACCGACAAATCTCAGGAACACCAATGGGTTCTCCTTTATCCACCTTCCTTGCAGAAGCTGTTATTCAACACCTTGAAAAGCAGTCAGTCACTAACAACACACACATCAGACTATGGAGAAGATTTGTTGACGACATCTTTGCTATCGTCAAGAAAGACAAAACAGAACACATTCTACACACAATAAACAACACCACACAGAACATAACCTTCACCATGGACAAAGAACAGAACAAACAACTTACCTTCCTAGATATTTTACTTACCAGATCACATGACGGCACATTAAACACACAAGTATTCCGCAAAAATACACACACAGACCAAATACTCAACTTTAATAGCAATCACCCAACACAACACAAAATTAGTTGCATACGAACTCTCTTTAACAGGATTAAAACACACTGCAATACAGAAGAAGCCAAGAAGAATGAACGCAACTACTTATACTCCACATTCATAAACAGCAATTACCCACGAAACTTTATCAACAAAGTATTAAACAAAATACACAACAAACCACAAGCTGAAAACCCTAACGAAGATACAGACAAAAAAAACACTTGAGAAAAACGACGATTTTTTTGAAAGCAAACATGTTTCGACATTATCAGAATGCCATCTTCAGTGCAGAATGGTTAGTGTTCAGTAATATGATACGTAATATGATATGAATAAATTAATTACAATGAATAGGATTATGATTTAGTTACAAAATTATAAAATATTTAACAAAAAAGGAAAAGAAAAATAAGTATTAAGAACTTATAACAAAAAATATTATTATAAAGTAAATATAATGTTGTAGTGGTGAACTTGGATATTTAAATTGGGATTAGTTTTATTAATGTGTAGAGCTTCCTTGATTTTGAGTGAGAAAGTGGATTGATCAGTGTCGATGATTTTAAAACAGGAAGGTGAGAATTTGTTTTTACATGAAGGAGAGGCTTGAAGATGTTTGTAGATAGTGGAGTTTTTGTCTGTGTGAGTATGTTCCTTTATCCTGGTAGATAATTGGCGAGAAGTTTCACCAATATAGCGGGAATTACATCCCGCACATGAAAATTGATAAACTACCATAGATTTGGAAGGTTCGGGAAGTGGGTCTTTAAACGAAAATAAA